TTTTAGGGTTTCCTAGGCTTGGTTTAGGCTTTGATTAAGCATTGATTGGGGGCTATTTGGAGCACAAAAGAGTGAAAACCCCATCCCTCCTTGCCCCGTGGACGTAGGTAACTTGCTGAACCACGTTAAAATTGGTGTTTTGTTTGTGCATTGATATTTGGTTCGTTTGGCTCTCTTGGATTGGCGTTTGGTTTGGTTCCTCGACACAGCTTCAGGCACAACATGCACTCTATCTTTCTTCCACAAAATCTGAAGTACTTCAAGAATTTCTGAATGTTTTGACAAACACATGGGATGTTTGTTTCTTATATGAAGAGACATTGTCAAACACAAAATACCGAAATGCTAAATACGGCGATCTTCAGTTTTCTACTCACTAAATACAGATATCGGTCTTTTCTTCAATTTATGGATTGAGATCATTTTCTCTCTAAACACAAAGACTGAAATATAAGGTGCCTTACAGTTTCCATGGATGAATCACCGATATCCCTCAAATCTTCTAACATTTGTTCTCAGCAAACTGAACATTTTTTTTGAAGGGTCCGAAGAGCAAAACCTTAGAGATTTCGGATCTCCTCCAAGCAAACATTCTACTCCTGGGATCGATTTAGCAACTATCCAGTACTAAGGGTACGTCCTTGGACATTTGTGGTCATCAAAAGCTGGTTCGTAAGATGATTGACGCATCATTCTTCAAGGGAAGAGCTTTTGAGTTTCATCCACAATGAGACTGCCATGAGTAAATTACCAAGTGCACCTGGATCTGTAGGAAACATAACATACAATACAGCGAAAATTGCATATCATGTAGAATAATCAAAATTAATTAAAATCTAGAAGAATATCTTAAACGTTTTCTGAATTTCTTTGATAATCTATTCCAAGATCAATACGAAATAGCTTCCTCAAGAGAAAAAACTTCCAACTGAAGTCCACCTGTCATCGAAGAGGAGTAATACTAAGAGATAGGTTTTCAAAATCTATTTTTTATTTTTATTTTTTATTTTTTTCTTAAGGTTACATATGAACCCTTATAATAGGATTGGACTTGCCTTATAGATTTTAATTTCAAAATAATTCTTAATTGTTTAAAACTCTATCCATAACATTTAAAGATAGAATATTCTTTCCATAACAATTATGATAGAAATAGAATTGTATTGCATGTAAACCTCTTCTAATGACATTAGTGAGACCAATTGAGTCTCATATCGAGAATCAACTATTAATCAAATTAATAATTTTAATTTAACAATCAAATCCTTATCCGATCAATTGTTCATAAAGGCTTTTCCATAATATAGGATTAAATATTCGTGAATAATATTATTTTACATTCAACCCTCTCAAATATCAATTTATTTTAGATAACTTTATTGAGCAGGACAAATCAACTTTATTAAGCAGGACAAATCACCTATTTGCTCATTCCTAAAATTGTAATCCCATGAACATAAATAAAAATTATTTTGATATATCAAAATATTTTATTTTATAAGAAAATAATTTTAGGTTTTTTTTTTAAAAAAACACCCGTTGACGAGAATTTAATATCTTCATGGGATTGCATAATAAATTAATTCATGAAAATAAGGATACTGGATCCTATCTAGATATCTATCATTTTTCTAAATGAAATCTAATAACCCAACATTTCAGGTTATATAACACTTGTAAACCAAGCTTAACTATCATATCAAAGGATACTAAATTATCAAATCGAAAACGATAATATCATCAAGTCTAAGGGACCACGTAACAATTCAAATTCTCTATCTCTTAGATGACTTGTCCTAGAGAATCCAAATAAGAGCATCTCCAACCGAAAAACTCAAAATGGTGTAGTTTTTACACCAAATCATTATTTCATCTTCAACCTATTACATCAATTTTTACACCAAATATGAAATATGATGGATGGAATGAGATATGGTTGGAATATTTAATTTGTTATAAGCAATTTTAAGGGCAAACCGTGAAAAAAGAAAAAACTCCATATCTACAGTGTTGCGCCATTCCTGGCGCAACACTGTAGCAGCGCCCCAAAATAGCACATGTTTTGGTGCTAGGTTGGAGGCAGTTTTGGTGTTCTTTTGGAGTCAAAATGGTTTTTTTGAAGTAACGTTGGAGATGCTCTAAGTTTTTGTGCTACACATATCAAATATTTGCTTATGACATACACTCGGGGAATTTTTATTCCCGATAGCTGAGATTAACCATCACATCTCATATGTCGTTGTCATGCATAATAATCTGTTATAACAAAGTTATTCTTTACTAGTTATAGGTTAAACACAAATTTGAGAAACCTCTGAATTAGATTATATCTCTAATCAAGTGACCATCACAGTGCATGATCTAACAAAATAATTTCTAAGGATAATATAACAATTATATAAAAGATATCTAAACAATATGTACAACAATAAAACTTAATTAATATTCAATAAAATATATTGGATGTTTAAGGGCATATAACACTACTCTAGTAGGATCATGACATTAAATATGCACCAAATGATGTTAGCAAGGATAGTTTGGCAAATTATCCATCTATAATTAAGCATTATCCTAGTGTTATTCCAACCATGATTAATAGATTTGACGAAACATCAAGAAGAAAGGAACAAAAAAAGGTTGGTTGGATTTTGTAAAGAAGAGCCTCATTCCAAATTGATGACTCATCAATAAAGTCCGCATTTGCTCTCTCTTGTAGAGTAAAGGTAATCTAAGAGAGAATAATACAGTTTTTGTTATTCGTTAATATTGCTATCCACTTATATCATAATTTAAATGTTAATATTTTGATACTTTCATTATTAATTTTCTTCTTTTCTACCCGATATATTCTTGTAATGGACGGTTCATCTTCATCGTGTATCCTTCGTTCAATTATCCTAGGTAAAGTCTAGCTGTATGATAATGAGTTTATCATGTAGTTTTTCAAATTTCTTAGTCTTATTATGTAATTTTCAAATTTCTTAGTCTCTATGATTATAACACGGACCGGTTGCGGAATTAATGAAAGTAAAATGAAATAAAACCAAAATAAAATGTCCTGTTAATTATGTTAAAAAAGATAAAAAAATTGTCACATATATAAAAGAAAAATTAAGGACAAATTTTTAATTTCGACCTATTTGCAAACTTAATTGTAAAAATCGACCCATTTTGTACTTATTTTTCAAATTCAACTCAATTTCAGCTAAACTGGATCGAATTTGAAAAAAAAAACTTACAAACTTTACGGGACTTTAAGTCTTGTAAAGTTTTATTATGTAACAAAACTTCACGGGACTTGAAGTTCCCTGAAGTTTGTAAGTTTTTTTTTTAAATTCGACCCAGTTTTAACTAGCTGACTAAAACTGGGTTAAATTTAAAAAATAAGTACAAAAGTGATCGATTTGTGGAATAAATGTTCTAAATAAATCGAAATTAAAAATTTATCATAAAAACCATTACCTGCGCGAGGACAGCAGCCCATCATATGCACCCTATCCTCTATTCTGTCGGAGACCCATACATGATGCATCCATAATTGGGTGCATCTGGGTGCACGTAAAACCGGTCTCCAAATCTCTTCAATTTCATGAAACTCGATTTACCAGCACTCTCCAGTACACGACCAGCCTCTCGCGGTAACGTAACTATCTTAAATCCACCGCAGTTTAAAAAAATCACCGAAATCCTCACCCAATCCCATTTAAACCCCAACCCCTCTCCTCGCTTATCCACAGCAGAGGTCGAGAGAGAACTTGAGAGAAAATCCAAGCAATGGCGTGCTCAGCTCCTTCGATGCTTGCTTCAAACCCGAAGGCAATGGCGTTCTCATCGAAACCCTCTATGGCTTCTCCTCTCTGTTCCTTCTCTCAAACCCTAGCGGTCCCCAAGAGCTTCAGCGGATTGAGCTGCGGATCCAAAACCCGATCTCTCCGATTCGCGGCAGCTCCAGGATCTTCTTCTAGAAGAAGTTTCGTCGTGAATTCTGTACGAAACTCAAACTCATCTCGTCGATTAAAATTTTTTTTTGGTTTTTTGTTTTACAATTTATTTATTCAGAAATTAGGGTTTTCATGTTGTTTTTTTTGTTTAATTTTCTTTGTTTTTGCAGAGTGAACTTCCGTTGGTGGGGAATACGGCGCCGGATTTTGAGGCGGAAGCTGTGTTTGATCAGGAGTTCATCAAGGTATAGCAGATATTTTGAAGTTCTTGTATTTTATTTCTCTTCTTCTCTTAAAGTTTGAGTAGAGTTTTGTTGATTTTGCTAACAATTTCTACTTATGGAAATGGTTTATCGTTATTTGTTTAATATGAGTAATCGCCACTGATATGGACCTAACTTTTTTCTTGTCTTTTGGGGTCGGAATTATTTAACATTTTTTGCTAATCATTGCTTAGTTTCCTAGTAATGAATGTTTAGTGGGATAAGCAGTATGTTGTCTCTTCTTTGTGTAGCTATAGATGGATAATTTAGATACTTTAACATATTGTTGTACCTTTCGTGTTTAAATTCTTATTGTTTTGAAGTCGAATTTTATCTGTTTATGTGCCATTTGTTTATCAATGTTCTGTGGCAACTATCGCCTACCTAAACTTGATAAAAATGACTCTGATGTGACAAAATGACGATTGAAAGGGGAGAATTGGCTGGTTTAATTTTAATTCATGGCAGGTTTTAATATTAATTTATCAGCATATCTGATGAATCACATGGCTACTGATGTTTATTAATCCGTCGGGAAAATTAGAGTGTTGTGATTAAGGGATGTACAATAAGAAGTCTACGTCAGCTATGAAGAGATTGCTTGGTCTGAAGTTGAATGGATGAGGAAAGGAAATTAAGTTGGTTTGAAGTTGAATGCATGGAGATAATTGATAATGCAAAAATTACACACATTTCTCCAAATCTTTAGGAGCTGTTACATGGATCTCTTTTCTTTATTCGGCTAGGTTAAGGGCATTTACTAGTTAATTGGACAACCTGCTTTGCTGAATTTAAAGAAACCGAGCATCCTTTGAGAAGATTGAACCTTCTTTTTACATGTATTGCTCACCAAATGCCACCATGATATGACTGTTGTCCAGGGTTTTGCCGAAGGAGGAGAAAACTCGTAACAACCCATATTTTTTTTTGCTTTTGCATAATGTTCAATTCCATTCATGGAAAGGACGATTCTTAACGAGGCACATTTTGTTTGGCCATAGAAAGGATTCTCCCTCTCTCCCTCAGAAAGGAAGAAAAAAGAAAAAACAAGAAAATCTCATACCCTTAACCTATTAGGTTAATGTTGCTCACTAACAATGTCGTTTCCAATCATGAAATGAAAAAGCTTAAATCTTCTTGGTGCATATGTTTTTTTTAAAAAAGTATTGTTTATCAAATAATAAATGAAGCAGTAATTTTTCACTCATAAGAAAAATAAAATGTGCAGGAAAATTGTTTGTTCAGTAATTTTACATAGGGTATTGGGTTAGATGTATCAAAAAGAAGTAGTGAATGTTTTAAATGCTGGAGAGCGGAGGCAATGGGAAGTTTTGTAGCAGAAAGATACTTTCTGTTAGCTTTGAAGGATTTATGAAAGTTCCAATGCTAATTTTGTTCCAGTTGCATGAGTTATTGGATAGACAGGTAAAGAAACTGCAACAATGAGCACTAAGATATGATTCTGCTGCTTGAACAACAGTGAAACTGATGGATTATTACATAACATAAAAAGATGAATGCATGTATAGAAGCAGCATGTGTCAAGAAAATGGAAACATTGGGTTATTTTCTGTTTTCATGTTTTTTTTTCCTGTTCATCTTTTCTTCTCTAGCCAGGCAGTTGGGTTTAGGTCTGAGTGTAGATCTCTCAGACTTGGTAGCTAACTTCACTGCTCTTGGATACTGCCTTCAGTATATTTTACTTTAATCTCAAGGAAAATGGATCTTTTATTTAAGAAGCACCATAATTGTGAGGAGGTTTAGAAAGTGCCACAGCCACAATGATTCTAAAATGTCATGAAGACAGTCTTGCAAAACCATAAAGCTGTTTTAGAGTAGTAAATAGAGAAACTTCCGAACTCACTATTTCGTCGAGTACCACTTTGCATAGAGTACCAACATAGATTATATAAGTCTGGGAAGCGTTTGATTTGATATGCGTGCTATGTCTAATAGATGCGTTTTGCTGATGTTAGTAACTATATATTTTGTTAACATATATTTTGATGTATAATTGTATATGTAGATTGTCCTTCTAGTTTGGTTTAGTTGCTTTCTCTCATCCTTAATCAGTCACAGGTATACTTTAGCATGTGGTTCTAATTCAGCAGTTGTGCCTTCCGTCTTTCCTTTTGCTTTGCTCTTATCTTTTTTGCTCAGAGAAAGACCACAATTATGGGGTTGTATCAAGTATTGGATATAAGTTTGTCCCTCTATAGTGGTGATGGGATTGCTGCTAGGAATATCCAGAGCATCTAAGTAATCCTAGTCGACTACTAGGAAAACAGACTGATGCTCAAAATTGCCTCAGTTGACAAAATAATATCATAAATGAACAGTTTCAGACACCTCTCAGTATTGGTTGTTATTCTATCACTGTTTTTATTACATGTAATGTAACTACCAGCTTGAATTTTTTTGAGATTTTGTTTCTAACTTGATTTGTGGATGGAAGATTGAGGGAAAATATGTATCTATTATTGACTATGAAACTGCAAATTTATCAGAACTTCTTCATATTATAGGATTAGAATCCGTGTTGTCAATAGAGAAACACTTCTTTGATAAGTTTCATATACACTATTGTTTGGTAACGATGTTCTATTTTAATTGCTGCTGTTTAAAAATTTGAGGTTTGGGAAACAAAGTTTGGTGAAAATAGTCTACACTAGTCGAAAATAGTCTATACTAGTCGATACAGAATTTGGAGATGGAATCAGAGAGGAAAAGTTGGGAGTTTGGGCTAAAATGTTGATATTGTTAGCATCAGGATCATGAGAGATACCCTAAGGAAAGAGATGCAATCAACGAAGCACTGAGAGTCTCTAACTACTTAGAATCTATCTGTCTATTTTACAATACCCATGGTAGAGCTGTGATTATGGTATATATCATATGGAAAAGGTACCATGCACTATGGTCTTCCATATGAACTTCATGGAATTATTTCTCAGAAGACATGGGCCACGAGTCTTCCTTAACGCCACATGTATGCATTTTCAATTATCGAGATACCTTTTGCTCCAATAAAGTAGATCCATCAAATGCTTCTAGGACAGATGAGGCAAGTAGGTGCCAATTTTTTATTGCTCAGTGTGTTGAATTAGAAAACAAAGTGAAGTCAACAGAATAGCTGACTTTCAGTAATCAATGTTAAACACAATATTGTAGTTTTTGTAGGCAAAATATTTTTCTACTGGCAGTTTCTTTAGATGTATTATTTATTATGTCCTTAGACCATAAAATTCTCTATGTTGCATTCCCAATTATAATATTCTTCTTTTATGCCTCAGGTCAAGCTGTCTGAGTATATTGGGAAGAAGTATGTAATCCTGTTTTTCTATCCATTGGATTTCACATTTGTTTGCCCCACTGGTAAATTCCATGCTTATTAAATTGATTAGTATGATGCCGGTAACATTAGAAAAGTAGCTAAACTAATTGTTTCAATATTTTCCTTCCCCTTTGCAACAGAGATTACTGCTTTCAGTGATCGCTATGCAGAGTTTGAGAAGTTGAATACAGAGGTTTTGGGTGTTTCGATTGACAGTGTGGTATGTTCTACGTTTGTCTAAGTACTTTTTCTTGAACTGAGAAAATTCGATGTTGATTTTTTGTCGTTGTTTAAGATGCATATTTATTTGGCACTGTACTACTTTTGCTGACCACTAGATTGATTCATGGATTGAGAGGTCATATTCCTATAGAAATTATTATGTTTTGCTTCATAGTGACTTTTTTACAGTAAGAATGAGCATAGTCTAACCCGCAAAAAAGCAATCTGAGTGTAGTCTATCGTAAGATGGTTGAAAATATAATAACTACAAATGTTAATATACCCGATATGTCTATAGTGTGACCATATCTTGTACATACTTCCAAGACTTTTTCTTCTTCCACCAATTTTCATAAGATCTCAACAAGCATAATGTTCTATATTGCATCCCTGTACTTATATACATGAACTGAAAAAAAGCTCCTTGGTGCAAATGGCATGGCAGTATGTGAATATCCAGTATATACTTCTATGCTACTGTTTTCTTTGAAATACTCCTAATAATTTTGTTGCATCTTGTGTAGTGCCAGTAGGGGTTGTAAACTACTGAATCGAATCAAATTTCAGTATGTTTGAATTCAACTTCAGTTGAAAGTCGGATATTCAAATTTGAATTCTGGTTGAACTAGTGTGCACCTCGTGCAAAGCACGACTTCCAATTTTTTTATTTCTGCTACAGTAATTCTGTATTTAAATGCAGTTTGCAAGTGCTACAATAACATTTTTTAAATGCTACATTATCTCGCCTGAGCTATAATAATAATGCTACAGTAGTTTAGTTTATTACATCATGAATACCGAAGCGTGGATCTGCCTGCTTGTAAAGCTACATTATCCACTGTGGTATTACTGTAGCATGAATAGTGAATATTGGATCCTCCTATTATTATAGAGTAATAGATATCAGTGATATTCATATTTGAATTCTCTCTCTCTCTCTCTCACACACACACACACACACATGAGGAATATGGATAACCTTGGTACCAAGGACAATTTTTGGTCCTTGGGAGTTGGGAGTGAGGTGACTTGTTCTCATCTGTACAATCAAAAGAGGGACCACTTGCACATGGGTTAGAGAGGACCATTTTCAAGTGGGGACCACTAAGGTGAGTGTTTAAGCTTTAGCCACATCGCTACCAAGTATATTTGAACTATTTGGTACCAAGTTCCTCCATTTCTCTCTCTCTCTCTCTCTCTCTATATATATATATATATATATATATATATATAAACTACTATATATATATATATATATATATATATATATATATATATATATATATATATATATATATATATATATATATATATATATATATATATATATATATATATATATATATATATATATATATATATATAGAGAGAGAGAGAGAGAGACCCTTAATTATCTAACCCATATGCACCCATGTGAATGTGGTCCTCCCCTTTAAGTGAATGGATAAGAATGAGCCACCTTATTACCAAACACCAAATTTGTGCATAGTACCAATCATATCCATATTCCTCTCTCTCTATATACATATATATTCGCTAAATATTCACGAATATTTCAGCAGCATGTTTAGTTGGGGGACTTTAGCTCTAATACTGTAGGTTCGAGGTTCGAACCTTGCAACTGTCATAATACTTTTTTTTCCTTTATTATTCTTTGGAGATTTTTTTCATATACATCCACCAAATTGTATATATTTGTAACCTCCAAAGCATCATACTTGCCGATTTCCCTTTCCATTCAAGTTTATGCCTTAGTTTAAACTAATTAAAATTTTCAGAAAATATCTAACATGCCGTTTAATAAATATAAAACATAAACGAGTATTTAATGACCAAGCGAATCAAACATACATTTGGTTAAATTGTTTTCGTTTATGAGTCGAATACGAAAAATTAGTTGTTTACTGCTAAATGAGGTGTCAAATCAAATTCGATTGAATAGCCGGATGAATAATAACCGAAATATTTGTTAATTTTTTGGTTTGCTTCCACCCGACTCAGTATTCTAGTACAATGTTGTCATGCAAATTCTCTTATCTGTGTGCCATGTTTTGGCTCCGTTTTGGAAATTTCCATTTACACTTTCCATTATCTGTGTAGTTTTCCCATCTTGCCTGGGTTCAAACTGATAGGAAGTCAGGCGGACTTGGAGATCTGAACTATCCTCTAATCTCTGACGTGACAAAATCCATTTCTAAATCATATGGAGTATTGATTCCTGACCAGGTAACATCTTTAGTCAAATTATTCAGATAAACAAGGAGCTAACTATTTTAGTCCGTTTTGGTCTTAAAATCTAGATGTGTACAATTATCCAAATTTCCCTTTGTCAAAGGAAACATCTGTTTTTATCTGACAGGGGGTTGCCCTCCGAGGACTGTTCATCATTGACAAGGAAGGAGTTATTCAGCACTCCACTATTAACAACCTCGCGATAGGTCGGAGTGTTGATGAAACCATGAGGACTCTCCAGGTAGAAACTATAAGATGCAGACATTTTTTTGGGTCTTGACCATCGAAGCGAATGGATGGACTGTTCTGTGCCCATTATAATACCTACTTTAGGTTTCATTACTGTTTCTTTGTTCTAACTTTTGTCCCCTTCATTGGCTTTGTAGGCTCTGCAGTATGTGCAAGAAAACCCTGATGAGGTGTGTCCTGCAGGATGGAAGCCTGGGGAGAAGTCCATGAAGCCTGATCCCAAGCTCAGCAAAGAATACTTTTCAGCTATTTAGAGAGACTGTTGATGTTTGAAGAGCCAAAATATGTTTTTGTTGTGATTAGCCCTGTTCAAGTTTGTTGTGATTTTGTTTCACTTTGACTGAATAGAACCATTGGATTCAGATATCATTTTAAGATGGATCAATCTTGCTTGAGGACTTTTTTCATCAGAGTTGTTTTATCTTTTGGTCTTTAGGGTCTATTTTAGCTGCAACCTGTTTTATTCTTTGCTCTACTTAACTGCGGGCCCAAATGAAATGTGGAAGTATGGTGTTAACCTGGTTCATACTCTTTATTTCTTCTTATTAGTTCGTCATTTGGAAATAAGACATCTGAAGTTCGCAAGAAACATATTTTTTTTGGGTCAAACAGAATATTGTCCAAATATAATAGGACTCGTGATTTTAGTTTTAGTAGTACTGAGTACATAAGTTGAAAATGTATCTGATTAGGTATTCATTAATGAAATGCTTAGATGGGTATGCTATCAAGGTATCAATGAGCTTCCATTTGCTATACATCTGGAACGGTAAATTTCATATAAAACCCCTCATATTAAGTAATTATAAAGATAATCGAACAAGTTACTAGATCAGTCAACCCATGATAATTCTTTTTGCGCTTCTCATTATACCAAAGAAATTTACCTCTTCACCCTGCATCAAGACATCAAGAGCTTTTAACATCGTTACAACTTTAGTAGGAACTTATCACCCCAATTTGGTGTTTTCAGAAGAATAAGTTGCGGATGCAATTTGGGAAAATTATTTAAAATATAAGTGCTTTGACGGCTCATTTTAAAATACGGTAAATTTGAGGGACCAAGATCTGAAAAAATTCCTAGGGATGAATAATAAATCGATTTCAAACATACAAACATTCCCCGATAAATTGTTGATAGATTAAAATATGCACACTTTCTGCATCAGATGCTTGATGCTTCCCCAAACAGTTTTGGACTAAAAAGGAATTAGTCTTGATTCAAAGGCAGAAAGGTAAAATCAAGGCATATTATCTCAGCCCATTACTGGTTTTGAAGGAGGGCCCAGCCCAAATGGCTTGGTCAAGGCCGAAAGTTTTCGTTGAGTGGATTGACGATTTTGACTAAAGTCGTTCCTCTTTCGCGCCAATTAATCGGCATTCGGCTAGTAATTTCGTCAACCTAGGGTTTCCAGGACTCAAGATGGCCATCTCTTCCCCCCATTGATCAATCCGTTGTCTCCTAATTTCAAGTAAGTTTCCCTTAACATTCTTTTAATTTTAATCGCCTGATCGCCATTTTTACTAGAAATTATTGAATTCGATCTATATAATTTTCCTTTTCCTCCCATTTCTAAAATCGAAAAGCATACAGACGCCATTAGCGTCCGCGCGATTTTTTATATATTAGTATAGATAAATCATCTAGGGTTGAGTATTAGTGTTGATTTTTTTTCCTGGTGGAATTTGATTTGTCTGCTGCTGCTTAATTTAACGATGGGGTTTTTAGGAAGACTAAGTCCTCTGGAATTCCATCAAGATACGAGAGGGAAAAAAAAACCCAAGTATATATTAGAAAAACTTAAGGAAAAGAGAAAGAAAAAAAAGCCAACACCGAGATTTTATGTGTTTTTGACGCCTTGTCAACATTCAGGGGGCGTTCATTGCATTAAAATTACAAGATTCTCGATCAAACTCCAATCTTTTATCATGGCAATTGTAATCGAAAATGTTTTGAGAATAGAGTAACTATCACTAGCTTTTGTCGACGTAGCCCGTAGCTCCTTTTATGGCCGTAGGAACAATGACAGCACTGGCAGTGATGTTTCTTTTTCGGGTGGGCGGGGGTGCAACTCTGGGGATGGAGCAATGGTAATTGTCGATGGTGATGATGACTACTGCAGCAACTGGAGCAAGGTCTAGGATCAGGATATATATGATCGCCGTCACCGAACAATCCCATTCTTTTTGTTGATGACGGTTGATATTAGATATTCTCCTTTCATTTCAAATGTCTAACATCGTGACAAGCCAAGAGGAGACACGAAATGAAGAGAAAATTGCTCCGCAAATTTGTCTCTTAACGAAGCAACGCTCTAAAAATAGATGTTGCTTTAACAGGGTTTTGACGAAGACAAATTTACAAGAGGAAAAAAAAAAAATAGAAAAGAAAAAACCCAAGTATTAGAAAAACTGTAGGAAATGAGATAGAAAAAAAGCCGACACCTAGATTTTAGGTGGTTTTCATTCCTTATCAACATTCAAGGGGCGTTCATTGCATTAAATTTACTGACCAAACCGTATTATTCTTGATCAGTCTCCAATAGTTTAGTAGTGGAAAGTGCTATAAAAATACAGTAAATATAACTAGCTTTTATCCTAGCTCGTAGCTCCTTTTTACTGGTGTAGGGACAATGACAGAACTGGCAGTGCTTTTGTTGTTGTTGTTGCTGCTGCTGCTGTGATGACTACTACAACAACTGGATCAAAATCTAGCATTGATATTAGATATTCTCCATTCATTTCCGAATTCTAATATCATGATAAGGCAAGAGGAAACTTGAAATGGAGCGAAAATTGGTCCCCAAATTTGTTAAATAAAGCAACTCAGTGAAGATAGATGTTGGTAAGATTCCTCCCGTTGGAACAAAGTACGCAACTATCGGATACCAAGATGCTGTGTATAACCAAATTCACATTTGTAGCAAGACAACCAAGAGGAGCCAACTAAGTATAAAGTTTGGAAGTTGATAATCTATGCTCGTATATATGTGTAATCATACCAACTGGTACTCACATTTCCATTGCATAATTAAATTACGTTTATGAATAATAATTGAAAAATTGGAGCTAAATCTGCCATCAATGTTATAGTTCCTTCCAACGTTATACAGCTGCAGTGTCCCATCTGTAGAAATGACAGGAACAGGTTTACTGGGCAGCAGATTGGGTGGCGGTCGACCGGCCCGGTCGACAGCGTTCGTGCACAAGACTCAGTGAGCATCAGGATTGGTGGCGGTCGACCGACGCGGTCGACCGAAGATGGTAGCGGTCGACCGGCGCGGTCGACCGCCGTACTCTCTGGACATTTGGGCTTGCTGCTGGATGGAGGGCGGTCGACCGACCCGGTCGACTGCCGAAGCGGTTTTGGGTTGGGTCTGTTTTCCAGACCCATTTCGTTTGGGTTTTCTATAAATACCCAAACTTGGTTTTAGGGTTAGTAAGCAGGGGGTTTTAGCAGCCATTGAGGGTGAGTTATTGGGCTTCTATTGTTGGAGCAATTGAGAGAGATCAAGAGTGATTTATTGAGGGTTTTTGGTGAGAGATTGTAACCCTAGTTGTATCCCCTTGATTTCTAATAGTGAAAACTCTCCTCTCCTTGCCCCGTGGACGTAGGCATCTTGCCGAACCACGTAAAACTGGTGTTAGTGATTGTTTGTGCTTGTTGGTGTGTTGGTTTATCTTTTCTTGGCGATTGGTTTGGATTCTCGAGGCGCAACAAGTGGTATCAGAGCTCCGGGCAACGCTTGGGCTTTTTGGAGGTATAGATCAGTTGGGAAGTTCATCTAGAGCTTCGATTGGTGATAAAGGTGGGATCTTTGTGGTAAAGTTTCTATCTTTTTCAAGTTGGATCTATTTTCTTGTTTGTTCCGCAATTGTTTGGGTGCTTTGAGATTATGGCCGGAAAGGATAAACATGGGGAGGGTTCTTCTAGTGTGAAGGCCGTCCAAAGTTTGAATATACACTCTTTGAAAATTGATGTGAAAAAATTCAACGGCACAAATAATTTTGGACTTTGGAGATGTGAAGTCATGGATGCGTTAAATGCGCAAAATTTGGAAGATACATTGGAGTTGGACGGGAAACCGGACAACATGGATGAAAAGGTTT